GTTGGCAATATGTAACAGACCTAGAATTGCCCTAGCAATCTTGTTTTTAGGAATTTATCCTTTTTAAAAACAAAAAAAGCCCAGGCTGGAGTGCAATGGCACGATCTCAGGTCACTGCAACCTCCACTTCCCGGGTTCAAGCAATTCTACTGCCTCAGCCTACTGAGTAGCTGGGATTACAGGCGCCTGCCACCATGCCCAGCTAATTTTTTGTATTTTTAGTAAAGATGGGGTTTCACTATATTGGCCAAGTAAAGATGGAGTTTCACTATATTGGCCAGGCTGGTCTTGAACTCCTGACCTCATGATCCGCCCGCCTCTGCTTCCCAAAGTGCTGGGATTACAGGTGTGAGCCACGGCGCCCAGCCAGAATTTATCCTTTTTTAAAAATGTGCAAAAATAACTACACAGATGTTCATAGTAGCACTGTTTATGATAGTGGCAGATATCTCAGTGTCTTAACAATTCGAGATTGGTTGAGTATATTATGGTGTAATTGTGCAATCGAATGTTACACAGTCATTGAAGTTGTTAAAGTTTTTTTTTTTTTTAAGAAATGGAAGAATATAGAAAAGTACAAAGGCAGCATACACCCATATCTTCTCTATATGTAGAATTAACTTATATTGTTAGCATTGGTAGTCATATTTGCTTCCAAACTAAAGGATTCTTTCATTACCACCTGGCCACTCCCCTTCCCCAGACGTAACACCATTAGGGGCCTGGTACATCTTTCCAGTTTATTTTAAATAAATGTGTTTGTATTGTTTTATGCTTTTTAACCATTCATTCATATTATCATGTTTGTTGTATAACTTTTTCCATTCAACATTAGGTTTTTAAACTTTCTTCATGTTGGAATATATATAATTTATTCATTTTAACAGCTATAAAGTAATCCATTTTATGAATATATTATTTTCTTTTGATAAGGGTTTAGATTCTTTTCTGTTTTTTACTATTATACACAGTGCTGAAGTTAACATTCTTTTTTTTTTTTTCTTTTTTGAGATGGAGTCTCACTCTGTCACCCAGGCTGGAGTGCAGTGGTGCAGTCTCCGCTCACTGCAAGCTCTGCCTCCCGGGTTCACGCCATTCTCCCGCTTCAGCCTCCTGAGTAGCTGGGACTACAGGCGCCTGTCACCACGCCCGGCTAATTTTATTTTTGTATTTTTAGTAGAGTCGGGGTTTCACCGTGTTAGCCAGGATGGTCTCAATCTCCTGACCGTGTGATCCACCCACCTTGGACTCCCAAAGTGCTGGGATTACAGACATGAGCCACCATGCCCGGCCTGAAGTTAACATTCTTATACTTGTCTGTTTTTACACATATGTGAATATTTCCCCAGTGTTAGGGTGCTACTGCTTATCAGTTTCACTTCTAGCTCTGTGCATTACTTTTCTAGTTATTGTCAAAATTAGTGTCTTCTGTTATATAAAAATGTAATTTATTAGTAAAAACTATGTTGTTGAGCACCCAGCAGATGGTGGATGCTAAAGTGGAACGAAAAGAGTTACAAAACAAGAGATACGAAATAATTCCTATCTTGGTATCATTTAAAGTAAATCTATGGCTGGAAAGATTCCATAAAGAAAAAAAAATGAACCTATATACCTACATATATAAGGAATCTGAAGTAATTTTTAAAAGCAACGTCAGATTGGTTTTCTTTTCTTGTGGCCAAGTGGGTTTTTATTGGACCTGACCTTCCTGCATATAACTGGACAAAATTTTTAAAAAACAAAGACCTGAAGGCACTGGAGAATG